CTGCCCGTCTCATTCTTGAAGGTTTGGGCCTTCATCTCCTTCGTGCCTCCAGGCCCTTGTGGCCCAAGGCTAAACTCAGGTGGTCACATTAGCTGTAGCTCAGGTGGGAACAGACGGACCTGATTTAACTCCTGAAATTCATCCCCACTTGAGCAAGTGACCAGAAAAAGAAAGAAACTAGTTTTACCTTGGCTGCCTCTATGCTCAGCTGAGATTTATCCTATTTACTCATGGGGCCCTGCATACTTCCTGAGCGGTCCATGAGGAAGACAAATTCTCCACAGGTAGCTGGTGGCTGAGCTTCTGGGATATTTGGGTAGAAACTCACCGTCGCAGATGGACCTCCCATCAAACAATCTACTCAGAAAGGATAAGGACACCGTAAGACAAATAAACTCAAGAATCCTAAAGATCTCAAGAATCAATTGTAGTGAGTTACATAGGGAGCTGAGAAAACCCAAATCTAAAACAGAGTTTGATCTTTATACTCCTATCTGCTGGCAAAGAGTTTGAGGTGAGTTATAAACATATAAAAGGTATAGAAGAGGAACACATAAAAAAGAGAAGAAAGAAGGTAGAGGTTACCAGGCACAAGCAATAATTAAAATATCATAATTGAATGTTAGTTTCCTAGCAGTGAGGCAAATGAGTGAAATATATTCAGTTAAAATGGTCCAGCATTTGCCAGAAGAATCAAGCTATTTTATTTGCAGAGATACCTTCTCTTCAAAACAAATCAATGGGGAATTTATCATGTGGGTCCTTGTTTAAGTCTTTAATTACAGCTGTGAAAAAGTGATGCTCGGGCTGGCCCTGTGGCTTAGTGGTTAAGTGCACACGCTCCGCTGCTGGCGGCCCGGGGTTCGGATCCCAGGAGCACACTGACGCACCGCTTCTCCGGCCATGCTGAGGCCACGTCCCACATACAGCAACTAGAAGGATGTGCAGCTATGACATACAAATATCTACTGGGGCTTTGGGGGATAAATAAATAAATAAATTAAATTAAATTAAATAAATGATGCTCATGTGGACAATTCTTATGTTTACAATTTACACGAGCTGAGAGTGTAGTAAGTGTCATACACACCAAGGAAAGTCCATCTGCTTTGGGTATGAAGCAATTACCGATGCTCTCCAGAACAAAGAAAGAGAAGCACTGGGATGTGTGTTGGACTCGAATATCATCATTCAAATGATAGTATGGAGGAGACCACAGGAGCCTGGCCCTTGTCACCAAGTTGTCAAACCCATAGCTGTCATTTTATTTTGAGGAGCAAGAGAAATCTGATGCAGGAATTGAAATGTTAGTATTGAGATAGCGATGAAATGAGAATCACTGGGTTATATGAACCCTAGTTTTACAATTTAGAGAATATAAGAGAACACAGATTTAAATTCCAATATCTTATTTTTGTAAAGCCAGGATTATAGGTTTAAATTTTCTGTATCCCTGGGATTCAGAGTGATTACAGGACTTGGCTCAGTTTAGTCTTTTACCCATGGGACACCCCAATAACCAAACTGGCTTCCAAATAAAATGGGTGTGGCTCAGCAAATATTTGATAGAACATTAGTTCAAAAATAACTCCTACACAATCCAGATCTCTGGATACCTGGGGGAAGAAGAGCAGCTTTTCTAACGCACACGGTGGATTCCTTTCCATTCTGAGAGAGCTGGTTACGGTGGGGCTGGCACTGTGCTGAGAAGGCAGAAAGGCTGCCATGAGAAGGAAATGAGTTAATACATCTAAACTGTTTAGAACACTGTCAGACACATCCTAACCACTATATGTGTATTATCTACTATAATTCTTTTGGCTTGGCTCAAATTATTTTCATTCCATGAGTCTCAGCTTTCTCATTTCTAAAGGAGGCATTTCAAACCCTAGCAAGCTATTCTGCTTCCTAGCCTCAGTTGCCTCATGTGAAGAATCAAGGCAGAAATATCTCAAGATTATATTATGGGTTAAGTGATGATAACACACTTAAGGAACCCAGTCTAGGGCTCAACTCAGATTAAGCTCTTAATAATAATTTTATAAAATTATTTATAAACTTTGTTTCTATGCAACTATTTTTATTAATTTATAAATGTGATTTTTAAAAAACATCATGGTCTTAATATGGTCAGTACATTCTAAGTTTTTAAAAAACATCTTTTGTATTTTCATGTCTTGGTATGCATCATTTAGCAGAACTCCAAACAGTTTTAGTGAGCCAGACTTCCATTTGTCATTTGTTTCTTATTTCTTCATATGGATGGGAATAGCAAGTCATCTTGACCAAACATATGATCTGGAAAGCAAGATTTGAGTGGCCCTTCTGGAAGGAATTCACAAGATTCATAAAGGCTGCCCCTGATGTCCCCCTATGGCCTGCAGAGCTGGTCCCAGGGAACAGATAAGGAAATTTGCACGGAATGCAAAGGAACTTCTTGGAAGGAAAGGGACAGAGATCTCAATCCTTATCTTTTAAGACCCAACATTATAAAACTTTCTCTGGTGGCTTAAAATAATCCTGACTGGAGACCATATCATTGTTGTGGGAGAATTTCAGAGAGGAACACACTAGAAGGAAAGGACAAAACCAGGTAACTAATGTACCAAGACAGAGCATGGGGCTTCATGGAAGAGGGGCTGGAGCAAACCTGGTTGATGGTGGGAACCCCTCTAACAGCTTTAGTATGGACAGCTTGCCCTGAGAAAAAAAGGTTGAACAAGTGAGGGCAAACTAAGGAGTTCCAATGTGAGAGCTCGAGTATGAATCTACTTTGGCCAAACATTAACAAAGAGAGAGAAGAATGGCCTGTTAAAGATCAGCTACAGGGAGTTGTCTTCACGGCAGCTGTAGTTATAGAAATAAGAGCCTAACCCATGCCATAGAATTTTGACTACGACTGTCCTCAAGGATGCTTCCATTCCACCAATGTGAAAAATGCTTCAGAAGGGGCAGTATCTCTCCAGTTATGCTTCATGGTCCCTGCAATCCAGGGCATGGCAGCCCAGGAAGGCCCCAGGAGAGCAACAGAATGATATGGGATATACCAGTTACAATTACAAGGAAAAGTACATATACACTAAGGAAAATTTAGAAAATAAGAGAAGTTCAAGAAATTAATGAGTTAAACTTATTAAGAAACTAAACTTAGTCTCAGAAATTAAGCAATGAGGGCAGGATGAAAAACCTCTGGAGATGGATGGTGGTGATGGTTACACAACAGGGTGGATGTACTTAAGGCAATAGAACTGTATACTTAAAGCTAGTTATTGTGGTAAAATTTATGTAAAATTTTATATAACATAAATTTTAAAACAGTAAAAAAAAAAGACAAAAAAAGAACTCCATATGAGATTACATGCAGGTGTGAGAATTAATCAATGAAAGTTATTTATTAGAAAGCAAAAAAGAAAATAACAGAATAAGCTTAGTCTTAATCTAATCACAATTACTACTTGCATACTTCCTGTGTTTTTTAATGTCCCCAGTGCAATAGGTTTTGTGTGTGTGTGTGTGTGTTAATCTGTCTGTATAACTTACTTTTCTTTTAACTTTAACTTACTACTTAACATTCATTGCAAGCCTTTTTTCCATATTACTTCAATCTGGTAGTCTACATTATTTTAAGAGCCGCATAATAACTCATTGAGTATACCTAGCATAGTGAATTTAGCTACTGCAAGACATTTTGGTTGTTTACCAATCTTCAATATAATAAAAATGGCAGAGGACATTTCAGTGCATATTTTTACTTATATTTAGATTTATTTCCTTAGATAACATTCTCAAAATTAGAATTACCAAAACGAACATTTATTTGACTAACACCTATCGCCAAATTTCTTCTGAAAAGTTTGATACCGATTATTTTTCTTCAAGCAATCTATGAGAGTGCCAAATTCACCACATCTTTCAAAGCATGAGGCATTATCAAATTTGGAAATCTTTGATAATTTGTTAAGTGAAAATGTCACATAATTATTTTTATTTTATTTTATTTTTATTTGCACTTGTGGAGACTGATCATTGTCACATATGTTTGTAAGCTAGCTGTGTTTCCTCTTGTGAATTACTTGTTCATGTCCTGTGTCCAATTATCTACTGATCTACTTAAATTTGCCTACCAGACATAACTACATGATATTCATTGAACCTAACCATTTTTGCATGCCATAGTGAAGCTATTTCAATGTTTGACCCACTACTGGATAAAAAAAAAAGAAAAGTGAGGGTAATCTGAGGGAAATTCCAAGACAGGAGTTGCCGCTTAGGAGGTATCCATAAAGGGAGAAAGAAAACACCTGGCTTTGTTTTAGGCGTCCCCATCTCCACAGCCACACTGGGGCTATGCACCTCACTGTAGTAAATCAGGAGCTCCACATCTCCATGAAATCTGTGTCCATCAGCCAGGGAAACCTGAGTGGGGAACAGGCAAAGGAGCCATGTTAGAATTATCACGCTTGCTGCCTGGGGCTGGGGCCAGAGCTGAGGCTACAGGCATCTTCTACGAGTGAGCATGGTCAGGGGCAGGGGCAAGAATGGAGAGAAGGCTCTGGAGATTCAACAGAGATAAAGAAGGAACATAGTGTGATTCCCTCTGGATTAACACGGAAAAGTAAGGAACATTTAGGAAAGACTGAATGAGGAACAAGGTCAGGACAAAGAACAGGGGTGCTGGCAACAACAGTGCTCTCTTACTCATTACCTGAGCAGAAGTCTTATCATCCCCCTGGTACTCAATAGGACTCAAGGGGCAGTCAGATTGGATCCTCTCGATGCGATGCTGGGAACTGATGGTGGCAACCAGGCTGAGTGTGTAGGGCAGGTCCTCCAAAGGGACTACAGGAGTCTTCATATTAAGGCAACTGTCCTCAGGCCATCCTACAAAAAGTTACCTGTTCTGTTTTCCCTTCCCACATCTTTTAGCTCCCCTACAACCTTGATGAGGTTTTCCCAATTAAGTTATCCAACACTAGTATTCTAAGGGAGAGGATACTCACAAGAGTAACGGTATCAAGGGTTCAGGATAGCTGGGAGCACATAGCGCAGGGCCCCATCTGCTTCCAGGGGCAGCTCCTGCACATACTTCAGGGTGAGTGCCACCTTTGATCCAGGGTGAAGGTTCCCCACATTGCAACAGAAGACATCCCTGGAGCTCATGTCCTCCTCCAATAGGAAGGCCTGGTGGCCCTGGCTGATGGCATTCTCATAGTTGGTGTGGGCCTAAGGAGAACAGGGAAACAAAGGTGGTCTTAAAGGTAACATGGCTGAGGAAGAAATGAGTGGTACAGAAAACAAAGACTGGTAGGGAGGGACCGTGTTGGTCTTGCCAAATTCGCAGCTATACTCTGAATGCCTCTGATTGATTTCTCCCCCTAAATGATTTTAGGAAAACAGCGGTTAGAGCGGTTAGAAAATAGGAAGAGCATTCAAACATCAGCATTTTTGTGAAGCTGCATTTGCTAGGGATGCTACAGAGTAGGCATTAAGGAAATAAGAAGGGAAGAGATAATGTACTCATCCCTAGTACTTTCATCTTGTCCTGTAATTCTGCCATAATTTTCTTCCCATCCACCATGGCCTTGATGCTGTAGACAGCTGAGTCTCCATCCATGGGAAAGAAGGCCTCCAAGGGAACTTTCCCCTCATTCTCATAGTTTAAGGTAGCAGACACACCAGCCACAAACTCACAAATCGACAAGGTCACAGAGATGCTCTTCAGTGGCACTGGAGATAGACCAGAGTTCAAGAGTTCAACAAACATTAATAGAATGCCTCCTGCAGACCAGGCACTGTGTTAGGTGCCAAAGTTGCAATGGCAAGTAAGAGTCATCAATCAGGCTTACCTGGCTCCTCTTTGTGGGTTAGGAGGCCACAGAGGCGCACAATGGCGATGTAGGGTTACTGTGGAAAAGACACATCATGAACAGGTGACATGTTAGGGATTATCTATTCAAATACTAGTACCTTATGTGCTTCTCTCCGGCATAAGAATATATTCAGAGGGTTAATGATGGAGCTAGCAAGCATAAAGAAGATGAAAAGAAGGGGACAAAGATGCCAATAATAAGAATCATTTTAAATACCAAACCCAGGTAGGGAAGCTGTAAGATTCACTAGGTACCCATTAAACAAGAATTCTGACACACCATGAGTCTGGTTCAAACACCAATTCTACTTTTTCAAAAGTATATTTAATATACCACTCCTTAGGTATATTGAATAAGTGTAATTAACTTAACCCCTCTGAATCTCAGTGTTTTCTTTCTAAAATGGAAACCAGAATACCTATATGTCATATATGCACATGTGAATTAATATATGTGCTATCCCAGGAACAGTGCCTGGCCTATAGGAAGTATTTAATCAATGATGACAGATATAAGTTTGATCCTGCTATTGTTGTTACTGTTGTTAAATAGACCTCAGCTGTTGCTTTGGATCATGCTATTCAGAGACCTGCACACAAGGAGCTACCTGACCCTGCAACTTAGATCACCTACCTTTTGACTTTTCTTTTGAGGCCCATAATTGAAACCACTGTTTGCCTCTTCCATCCAAGGTATTCTAATATATATACAAATATCACATGTGCAACATGTCCTCTACTTTAAATCAGGCCATTCTAAACATATTTTCCAAATTTTATTACAGTCTTAGACAACCATTTCATGTGATATGGTAACAAAGCAATAAATTTATGTACTTAGATTATGATTTACATTATGATGCTTTTATGCAGAGAATCAGCAGGTGGGTCTCATCCTAGTCGTTGTCCCTAATATCACTAGACGCTCCTCTCTGACCATTCTGAACTGAATCATTAGTGAGCTTGCCTCTCCCTGTTCTGTCAAAGGCTCACCTGAGCTGCAACCTCCAGCACCAATGAGGGGGATTTTCATTGAAAATACACCTTAAAGAGCTAAAAAGGAATTGCCTGGTGCACAAAGAAGGCTGATGAAAAGTGAAACTAATGTCCTTATCCAGAGTCCCAGGGGCAGATGAGTCACTGGGAATCACAACCTGCACTCAGCATCCTACAGGCGAGAAAAACATGTGGGCTCTTGAGAAAGGCAACTTTCCTTCCCAGAACATGCCTTCCATCAAGGATTCTGAAGCCTTTGGCAAGACTATTTCTAGTTTCTGGTCCTCTATGCTAATCCCAATCACCATTTAGAACATCACACCCCACCCCAATCCAGAGCAATGTCCATATTGTTCATCCATTTGATGAAAATAATGTGTCTTATACACCATGCCCCATCCTCACAAATCAATGCCAATAAATCAGACTTTTCATTCCCTGTCTGTTTTTATTTTGAAGATTTGAATCAAAACTGAGTGTGGCAAACAGCTCACATTTGATAGAGACATTGAGAGCAGTAGTGGTTGTAGGGAGGGGAAAAGATGCTCAGCAAAAGGGTTTCCATGCAGACATTTGACTGGTAAGTTGTCTGGTAGAACAGGCTGGTGTTGGGGGAGGGAGGAATTTCTAAGAACACCAGCAGGGAGCTTAAAGCAGGAAAAGGACACAGGACGCAGGAGTATAACAGCTGAAGAAATTGTGTCAGGCTACCAAACCTCTAAGGCTCAGCAGTACTCACCAAGGGTGGCTTTCAGGTGAGGAGACAGAAGCAGAGGGGTGTCTCCTACAAAGAAACAGCCTTCTTTCCTGATTCTAATCCCAGAAGATATCACTCCAGGACTAAATTCCCCACCTCTTGGGCTTGCAGTTAAAACAAGCGCCAACAGAGTTGGAGATGGAGAAAGGGAGTTAGAATCTGTGAGTCTTAATCCTCAGAGGTAGGGGGTGGGATCCAGCCCCAGGGCCCGCAGCCTGGTCACCTACCTTCTGCTGTAGGTCTAACTGCTCTGAGTCACTGCAAAGAGAAAACAGCTGCAGTTTTCTGGGAAGACCATCCCCCTTCTAGGGACCCCTTATAAGATACTCATTATATGACAACGAGATCAACAGGAAATTCTTAAACAAATATTCTAATATTCACTGTTCTCCGAATCAAAGGCAAATTCTTCTACCCTGGAACTTTTGCTTTTTCCCTTTGCCTGGTCTTGGCTAAGGAATAATCAGAGGATAGGTAATGGAAAGGGATTTTTTTTTCAAGTGAAAATGCTTTAACAGTAACATCGACAATGACATCAAAAACTACATATTTCTGTAATAGACTTAATTACCAAGGGCTTACTCTGTACTAGGCCCTGATGATAATTCTGGTTGCCAGGACCTGAATTTTATGGGCATTATATCATTGACTCCTCATGTCTAATTTGAGTCATTTGTCACATGATTGTAACCTCCTTACAGCGTGGAGGGAAGATGAGGAGCCAGGGCAATACACACAGGGGCCAAGTCTTCCATTCATGGGTCACTTAGGAATTTTTCATCAAGATCATAAAACCAAGTTTGGGGGGGGGTGGGTAACAATGCAAGTAACTGAGAATATTTGTGCTCATTTTCCTGGCTAAAGGACAATAGAAGTGATCAAGTTTCCTATGTTTTCTTTATTTCAAAATGACCTATTAAATCTGAGGCTTAAAGAAAGAGTCATATTGCTGTTGAGAATCTATACAGAGTAATGAATATATGATATGTATGGAAGACTCAGCTTGATTGATTTGGGTCTCTGTGATGTATTCATTCTGGCACATTTACCCACTCTGAGTTTGTTCTCTTATCTGTAAAATGAGGATAATGACATACCTACCTCCCTGGGTTGTTTTTAAAGATCCAATGGATCTTAATGGATGTGAAAGTAGTGGATGTGTATATAAATATATTCACACACACATATATACATAAATAATAAAGCACAAGTAAGCACAAATTCTATTTTATCAGTATTTGGTCCTAGGACCATGTTCTTTACATATACCAAACTTACTGTGAGAGGGAATGATTCTTTTTTCTTGGTAGAAATTATCTGGTATTGTTTCTCCTGGCTGTAATTTTTCTGTTGGCTGAAGTATCCGGGCAACAACAGGCAGAAGCTGGAAAAGTGGGCAGAGTTTATCATCTGCTCCAGCTGAACTAAGGATGCTAGAACCAGAAGTCTGCCACAGGCCAGACGTGGAGGCTTGGTTGGAAGGAACTGAATCAGGAAACATACATATGATGCTGGTTACTGGAAAGACACTTATATGAAAAGTCTCCGAACCTGGCACAATATACACAATTAAACAGATCTTTATAGCTATTAAAATATGAAGGCATTTTATTTATTTGTCTATTCATATTTTTTTAAACACAATGAATAATTTTACCCTTTTCATATAAACTATTTGATGAACCCAATGATCAAACTTTTGAAAGATAAATGTGTAATTCATTCTTTTAATCAACATATACTTATTGGGATTCTACTATATGCAAGGCATTGTTCTAGACATCAGCATTATGGCGATAACAAGACACAAAAATCCTTACCCACCTGGAGCTTACGTTGCAAGAGGAGGAAATAGTCAATAAGCAAATAAACAAGAAAATAAATAAACAAGAAAATATCTCGTGCTTAAAGAAAACAGAATAAGTAATATATTAGATAATGAATAGAGGTTACCTTAGATTAGGTGTTTCCACTGAAAAATATGTCCTTGTGATTTAATGTTGCTAAGTATTATGCAATATCAATTCTGGAGTTTAGTCCAAGTTTAGCACCAAGTCTATGGCCATTCAGAATAAAGACATTTCCCAGCCTCCCTTATAGCTGGATGTGACCTTATGACTAAGTTCTGGCCAATGGCATACAAGACACGTGTGCAACACCACACCATACCCTTTCAAAGAAAAAAGTATGGTCTCCCTTTCACTTTCTCCTCTTCCTACTCACTGATGGGAATGCAGATATATTCTGAGCTATTTTGGCCCAGGAGGAGTAGGGCAATAACCCAAAGAATAGAGAAACAACAAGCTAGAAGGATCCTAAGTCCCTGACGCTTTTGTGGAGTAGAACCGCTACATTAGCACAGAATTTTACATGAGAAAGTAATGAATTTCTCTATGATTTATAACAGTTATTTGGGCTTTGTGCCACACAACCTTTATCCTACCTAATACTCCCGATTATGATCAATAAAAAGAGTAAACTTTTGGAGCCAGCCTGGAGGCACAGCGGTTAAGTGAGCACGCTCCTCTTCAGCAGCCCAGGGTTTCGCAGGTTCGGATCCCGGGCGCGCACCAAAGCACAGCTTATCAAGCCATGCTGTGGCAGCACTCCATATAAAGTAGAGGAAGATGGGCACGAATGTCAGCTCGGCAAATGGGCACTGACGGGCTTGGCAAAAAGAGGAGGATTGGCATTGGATGTTAGCTCAGGGTTAATCTTCCTCACAAAAAAATAAATAAATAAATAGAGTAAACTTTTAGTAAACTTATCTTTGTCTAAATATGAAAAGCATATTTTCATAAAATGGAGAGATCTGTGCATTATGAGAACAGTATCCAACTAATTTCAGCACCCACCAATGTAATACATATGCCCTAAATTATGCTGGTGTATGTTGGTCATAGAATGCTGCTTACTGTCATCCAGTTCTGACAGCTATTTCTCTTCCTGAAATAAGAGCTATCTGTGTTAACATGTAGAAGACTTAGTATTGGTCCAGAACAGGCCTTGAATAAGTTATTTTTTTCATCCTCTCATTTCCTGCTGTTCTCTCTCTTTTTCTTCATGGAATTTCATTTAAGTCTCCTGTTCTGTTTGTTCTCTCTACTTTGATGTTTCCATATAATTCATCCAAGACTTCCTATTGTTCTTATCATACTTGAGCCCTTTATGTGTTCTTAAAACTTATAAACCTTTAAGTAAATAAATGCCCCAAATGTATAAAATTGTTTGATTAATGAATAAATACATACAAATGATCATGGTGTATATACTGTTAAGCCTTGTGATTACTATACATTACAGATACTGTAAGATAGATTTCAAAAAGATCAAATGATCAAATGCTCAGAAAGGTACACAAATCTTATAAGCTTTTATTACCTGACCTACTAGTGATAACAATTACAATTAATAGGCATCATTTTTATATGATCACTGGTAACTTGCAAATTTTATGTTTGAAGAGATCACATGAAAACTGGGTTCAGCAGAAACTTACCATAGATAGGTGGATAGTAGATAGGATGGTTGAAAAAAATACATATCTAGCTACTATATATTGAGTTCTTTTTAGAAACCGGTGCTACGTATTTTACATGGTAAGACAAACAGCTTTAATATCAGACAGCAATAATGGCTGTCGTCACAAAGCCACCTAGCTGTTTATCAGAAATTCCTTAGAAGATGCTGATCATTGCTTAAGATTAACAATTGTCATCAACTACAAGCAAACATGCTTTGGGCAAACCAGAAGCATAAATAAGTGTGAAAGGAGATAGACAAAATGAAGCTCTAGGGTCTAAATCTCTGAGGACTAGTAAAGGGCATACCTCGCTCATCCACCAGATCAAAACTTATAGAGAAAGCTAAGAACCAGGTACTGCTATATTAGGATCAACTTGGTTCTGCCATAGAATTAAGTCTGTGAACATTAGATTCAAAGAGTTTGGGGCTTGATTCCTACCTCTACTGCTTAATAGTTGTGTCATCTTGGGATTACACAAAACAACTTAACTTCTCCAATGACCCATGTCATCATTTGTAAAAGGGACTAATAATAACTACTCTATGAGCAGGTTGTAAGAATTAAATAAAATAAGATTTTTAAAGTATCTTTAATCTTTCTTGGATTAGTCTGTTTGAATCCTGAGAATTTGGAAAATCTTAATTAGATTCCATAGAGAACAGGCTATTCTTATGAAAATGATTCTGAGATTTCCTATGTTTTTTCTAACTCTATAAATATTATTTTGTTTTGGTTTGGTTTGCTTTTTCTCTGTCTTTCTCACTGTAATTACTAGTGGTTAAAACAAAAACAGGAGAAGGAGTCAAGATGGCGGCGTAGGCAGACGCGGAACTCACCTCCTCCCGTGGACACAGCCAATTTACAACGACTCGTGGAAAATTACCCCTGAGACAGAACTGAAAACTGGATGAGAGGAACTCCTGCAACAACGGACAATCCTAACTGAGGTGGAAGAGGCAGAAACTCCCTTCTGGAGAGAAAAACGCCGCCTTCACAAGCCGCCAGCTTCATGGCCACCGGGAGCAGCTCACAGGTACGCACCCTCCCTGGAGGCTCGGGGCCCTGAGCCGGGGAGCGCCCTGGCTGCGGGCATTTTGTGGACCCAGCACAATCGAGACCAGCGGCATAATATCTGACTGTACCTGCTACTAAAATACTGGGGACCACCCCCAGAAAACCCGGTTCACAAAGAAACTAAAGCTGGCTCTTAAAGGGCCCGCGCGCAAACTCACCCGTTTCAGGAAGCACCCTAAAATCACCAGAAAGAAAGGTGTACAGTGCTTTGGTGACAAGAGACTCACCTAATAGGCCCTGAGTGCATCTCGGTGAGGGGTGAGACCTCTCCAGGGACTGGGACATTGGCGGCGGCCATTGTTG